ACATTTATTATTTGTATTATTAATTACTGGATGTATGGATTGTATGCACCAGTATGGTACGATGGCATGCTAGGGACAGATTAGTTTCAAAATACTATATCCTACCTATTCTGAAATAAGTTGGATTAACTATAAAAGTTAAGTCATACTTATATATATTTACATGCACCGATATGGGACGGTGGCATATTGGGGATGGATTAGTTCAAAACACTAAGTCCTACCTATTTTGAAATAAGTTGGATTAACTATAAAAATTAAGTCCTACTTATATATATGTATATGCACCGGTATAGGACGGTGGCATATTAGGGATGACTTAGCTCAAAACACTAAGACCTACCTATTCTGGGGATTGATTAATTCAAAACACTAAGTCCTAACTATTCTAAAATAAGATAGATTAACTATAAAAGTTAAGTCCTTCTTATATTTGTGTCAGGTCAATAAACCTTTTGAATGACATACCTTGAACAGATTTTTATATATATATCTTTATGGTACCGTTGTATGAGCTTGAGTCTCAGGATCATGGTTAGGGTGCGTATATCGCCTGAGATGGATAACTGGACCTAATGATGTTCCCTGGTAGGTTTAGGTATACATGACCATGTTACGTCTGATTTGCATGTTACCTTCTACTCAGGCTGAGACGTGGGCTAGTAAACGTCCTATAGTGTGTATTTATACATATATGGACTACTTTAGTTATTGTTGAACTATCTAGGATGTATCTGCGTATCGGGTTTTCTATATGGATTTTAGTAGGATAGAACTTGAATGTGGGCCTGACCCACTCTTATTTTTTAGGTGTTTGTCAGTTCCAGGCTTAGAGCTTGATCGTGCTGAGCAGATACAGTCACTCATTCCTTCGACTGCGTAGGGTTGCTTTCCATGTTTAGCTTTGGATTTTGTTTCAGTTATTTCCTTTTCAGTTTGGAATTTTAATAGGGATCCACTATATGGATTCCCGAGTTATTTAATTAGTGGAGATTTTTGGATTATCGGATTATTAATAATTATTTAGATTTGAGTTTTTTAATATTTAGAATTCTTTCAGCTTTATTATTTATTTCTTTATTTCTCTTTTGTATTCCTAGTTGTTTACATATTGATTATTTGGTATCCCTTGGATCTGTGCTCGAACTTGATCACCTATGGCTCTAGAATCGAGGGGTATCACATGGTGCGTTTTCTAATGCTAAGCTTCCGTTGTCGGGTCCCTTTTGCTTCACCCATTTGGTATACTCTTCCATTATCTGTTATTTATTTGCACATTGAGAACAATGCACAGATTAAGTTTGGGGGTGTGTTAGCATATTTTACATGTCGCACTTATTTTCTATGCATATGGTATGATTTGAGAATCTTGGGCTATGATTTTGATCTTTTGAGGAACATGATACTTAGAATTTAAAAATTGATTGACTTGAAAGTCCAATACTCCTTGTATGCCTTGTGGATACCATTTAGGAGTAATTTTTTTGAAAGATTGATATCTTGCTTGCATTCGTGGTCCACATCATCCTGATCTTGTGATTATTTTGAGATTCACTTTAGGATTCTACACTAGCACAGACACACACTAGCATTCATTTGTGGGGTATATGCTTTATTGACTATTGATTTGGTTATATCATAATTGAGCTAGTAGTGCATTGAAAGCTTTCATTCTTGATAAAGGTAGATAATAAACCCTTTTTCATTGAGTAGCCGGGATTCTAGCCTCATCAAGCACTAAATTTCTCTTGCCGAAAGGTGGAGGGCCCAAACTCTAGGTCTTTAAAAAAATAAAATAAAATAAAATAAAATAAAATAAAAAAGTTGCAAAAGCAAATAAAAAAGTAAGGACTTTTCCCAAAAGGTGAGAAGTGGGAAATGATTAAATGGAGGTAGTTTTGATTTGTAGTCTAATCGATTTGAGCTTGTAAGTCCTTAGGGGTGTTTAAACACCTAATGCCCTAAAGCCGTCCGGTTTGAGAGTCATTAACCTAACGCTCGACCTCATGGATCGCTAGAAAGCTTAATAGATCACTACATTGCACCATGCTTCCATCTTTGATCCCATAGGTTAGTCAAAAAAAAAAAAAAAAAAAAATCGAATGAAAAGAATAAGCGCACCTAGATGAATAAAGCTTTAATAAAAGGTCCACTCTTTGTCTTGATGATCGATACTAGATTTGTGTGCTAGTTTGAGGCCGGTTGTAATCATTTCTTTAGTTGGCTTAGATAGCAACATATTTGATGCCGGTTCACTTAAAAAGGATTCTAGAGTTGTTTTGATTTACATGATCATTGTCTTGATGTGTGGAGGACCATATTTGTTTGCTTGATGTTGAGATTTTCGGAGATTACTTGGAAAGGGTTGAAAAATTGCATACTTGAGGTAGTTTTCTCCTAATGCTTGTTTTGTATATTGGTTCCTCTTTAGTGAGAAAGAGCTTAATGTTTGTGGGTATCATTTCTGGAAACCCTCACGAGACTTCACTCATCTACTAGGGGTAACCTAGGGGTTTAAAAGGCTTATTGCATATGCTAAATACAATCGTGTTCCTCACGAAAGTGGCGCTATCATTTTATTGCTTTCTAGTTCATAGTTACTTAGTTGTTTATTTCTTCTTCTTTTTTTCCTTGTAGTTCATTGCTAGGAACTAGCAATATCTAAGTTTGGGAATTTGATGAGTGCTCAAATGTAACACATTTTAGCACCTAAGCTATGGTATTTTAGTCCATTCATCTATTTTACTTTCATGATTTAAGTACTTATTTGTGTTTTTGCCTATTTTAGGTCAATAAAGTTCAAACAAGCTAATAAGAGCTATTTAGCTCAATTTTGGAACTAATGAGCAAAGTTGGAAAAAAAGTCAAGAAAATGCACCAGAGGAGCTTCGATATCAAAAAAAATCCCGATCGATTGAAGATGTTTACAATCAATCAAAATGAGGCGATGCCAGCTCAGCAAAGTGGATAAAGTCCAGAAGAGATTTTTAATGCCACGTCAGCTTCGATCGATTGAAACTAAGTATTGGATCGATCGAGAATCTTCGATCAATCGAGAATGCTGTTGGCAGTGAGCTGTCTAATTCCCAAGCGCGCCGATCTCTACCTAACTTGTGTAGCTGCGAATTTCCTCCAATCATAGGCTGTATTTCTGACTTGGTGCCTACTCAAAGAGGCTTGTAATTGATTCATTGAACATAGAATAGTTTTGTAGAAAAAATATCATAGAGTTCTCTTACAAAAAAAAAAAGATAGAAATATTTTCTCTCTAGAACTAGGGTTTTGGGAAGAAAGCAAGGATGAAGATGATGATGTCAATCTCTAAGCTAGTCCTTGAGGGTTCCATGACCACTACAATGAGTGGCTAAATTATTCTCTTGGGGCTAAAGATAGCCCCTAGGCTTGCTTCCTAAACCTAGCTTTTGTGTATTTTTGGAGATTTTAGTTGTAATAGATGTTTTGACCATAAATAAATATAGATCTTGTGATTTTTACTTGATTTATATGGATTAATGCTTTCAATTGATCATTGAGTTCTATTCATAAGTTTATGTATGCTAAAATTAATGTTCATATTTTTGTGTCTAGATTTAATGAAATTGATGCATGTCTATGTGTATTGTTATTGTAAATCTAGTGGTGAGGCATAGTGCTTAATTGAACACTCTTGTGGTTTATTTGATGGTTCATACTCATTTCTTAATGGATTGTGCCACACCTTTAGTTTAATTATTTAATTTTCATGTCACTAGCTTAGTTGTAGTGTAATTACTTTAATTTCTTAGGTAGGTGGACAATCCATTCTTGTTGTTTGATGTTCCATACTTATGAGTGCAAAGAATACATTTCTCTAGATTTTTGTGTGTGCACTAATTGTGTTTTAATTGAATAGTTATTGGTCTCATTTGCAGGGTTGTGCTATTCACTGGATTGACTAGACAATCTATACTTATTTGCCATCCATGCTTAGTTTTTAATTAGTGACACACACACACACACACACACACACACACATTTTACAACTTAAATTTCCCCATTAAGTTACAATTGCTAGTGTTTGGTGAAGTGAAGCTTAGTGGTGAACTTTAAGCCCCAAGACCTCTCTCTCATATATCTTTCCCTAATTTCTAGATTGTTACTTACTTGCATTGTTTTAATTGAATCTTAGATTAATTAATCAATCAAACCATCTTTTGATCATTCGACCTACTAGTCCATCATTGATTCCAAGAATACCGTTTATTTCCCTTGGGACGATCCCTACTCACTCTAACTACAGTAATAGTTAGTAGTGGTAGTGGCATTCTATAAATTTAAACTTAGCCACATTTCATTTCACACACCACACCTTATTGCAATTTGGTGCACACGACGACAAGTGAACACCAAAATGCAATCAAAATTCTCAGTTTTAACTTAATCTAACAAGCCTTTAGAGACTAAGATTTTGACACGAGGCAAGGAAGCATGACCTAAGCAAGAGTGCCACAATTCAAGAGAACGAGAATTGACATGTGTAGGTGTAACAGAGATGGTGGAAGTAGGCAGATGAAGAGATAAGAGTTCGAACAATCGACCAACCTTATACCCAGTCCCAACAATTTGTACAGTCCGAAGATCATATACAACACATCCATTAAAATTATGCATTCTGATGCGTATTTTGGAATCAAAATAAATTTAGAAAACTTTAAAATTAAGATCTCATATATATGCAATGCACTACTTAATTTGTGAGTGTTGCATCATAATATAAATTTATCTTTTACCCTTTATGTAGAAGATTATCAAATTGACCTTTTGGAATGTTTTTATCTACCTAAAAGTTTGAACAAAAATACACTACACAAGTTTTGATTTACAAAATTAGCCAACTTACTCCTCTAGTCTTTTCTCACCGACATTAACTTCTAAACCATTTCTTTGTGTATTCCCTCTATTAGTCTATTTAATTGGCTCCTCCGTCGTTAGTATATTTAATTGGCTCCTCTGTCGTTACTCAATTTAATAATGAGGCAGTAGCGTCTCTCAACACCTTTCGTTAACGAAAACGAAATCAACTTGGTTAAGACCTCTCTGCCTTCAAAAGCATTTCTCCAAAATGTACTAATATTCTAACTCATGCATAGATTACGCCGTCCCTTCCATTCCTTTTCCTCCTGGAACAAAACAGCTAGTAATTTGATTAGAAGGCGTGTTTATAGCCTTACTGGGGAGTCTAGATTGACCCGAGAAGTTTCTGATCTTGAAGTCTAAACCTGTGCGCACAGGCGAGAGATACAACGTTCCCATCGATTTCTTGATCCAATCTGAGTAATGGGTTGGTTTGAATTCTCGAACTGTTTGCTTGTTTTGAGGTTTTGATTTTGTGGGTGGGAGACTCCGAATACAATGCTTCCTTGCTCCAATCCGTTTGATGGGTCGTTTTGAATTCTTGATCTGGTTGTGAATTGTGGACGGAGCCGGTGAAATATGCGGCGGCGGCCGGCCGACTACCGGCGCCCGGTTCGAAGGAAGTTCTCGTGTTGGATCTGTGTTCTCCTCTGCCTGTTCTCTGTTGCTGGGTTTTCTTTGTTTGTGCTTCATCACCATCATCATGATGAAGATCGGGTCGAACAGCCCATGCTGGTAAGCTAGTGAAAATCAAATTCATACTTGGTTCTGTTTCATTTTTGCTTATATTGTCATTTGTTTCTTTTTAATCGCTGGTGTTTTCAATATGGGTAATGTTGATTTTCCCCTGGAGATGCATCTAATCTGAGAACGTATCTTGTTTTATTGAACACTAGAGTTTGATGCTATGTCTGTCAATTTGGAATTGGAAGAATTAGGAGCTTATTCTTTAATTTCATATGATGAAGACTAGAAAGATTTCCAATTTGATGTTATGAAGAAATAAAACTGTTTTCTGTTGGTTCTTTTGGTGTTGTTTTTCGAGTAGACCTTAAAATATATTTGTATTTAGAGGTGATTAATATGGAATTCCTATGTGTCCACCTTTTGTAAAAACGATTTCGATTATCTCATGAACAAATGAAAATGAACATCAATATGCTTTGTCTCGCTTGATGAACTTTGTTTTTTGCCAAGTAAATAATACTCTAACTATTCCAATTTACCTTTATGTGCTCTTATGAAATCCATAAGTCACAAACTAATCCATGAAGCCAAAAAGCCTCCTTGATGGCTTTAGACATTGTCATATATATCCCCTCAGTAGTTGATAAAGCATTAGTAGAGATTGTACCATCAGACATCCATTTGAACTTGAAGCTAATATAAAGACGTATGTTGTACTAGACCATCAATTATTCAAACCACCTGCATATTCTGAATCCTCATAACCACGAACATGAGAATCTGAAGTACCATTTGTTAGAACATAGAGGCATGTGTTGGCGAATTTCATAGCCAAAGTCTCATGGAGTTGTAATCCTATTTGTTTTGAGTCATGTCCAAATTCAAGTGTCAAAGTGCGGAAGAAATCATGAATGATCAGACACAGCCTCACACTCTCCTAGTTAGAATTTTGGGGACTCTTAAAAAATGGTTTGGAAACTTTATTAATGTTTCAAAATTATTTGTGTTATAGTTAAAAAGTTCCAAAATGCATATGTACATGCATTTGAAATCCAATACAAGCAATCCAGAGGGTTATGAACATGTACATAACTTCTGACATGCATTGCACTTACTCTAGAGATTTGAGTAGCATTTAACCAGTCCTCCAAGCACCTGTATATTATTGTGGATAATTGGTTTTAAGAGTTCCTAATTATTTGATACATGTTCTAATGAACTTCAAACTTCATGAATATTTCCATGTTGAGTTTTGATTAACTCTAATAAGATTTGATCGTGTTATGAACTCTGTATAAACAAGTTTTAAGGTCGCTGAAGTCTCTCTCTGCCCTTTTACATACTATTCCTACTCAAAAGGAATTCAACACAAAGATGCTTGCTTTCAGGTTTTTAAGTTTCTATACACCCCTTTAGCGGACTATGGATCGACACATGCTTCTGTACAAGAGTGTTAGCTTGTGTATGTTAATTGATTGTTCAAGAAACTGAACTTTATATAGAGATTTAGAGAATGATCAACAACCCATACCGTCAATCTTCATCAGCTTTTGTTAAGAAGATTGCTACATGATCACTACAATCCATTGAGAGAGTCATTAGCATTGACAGAGAGTAGGAAGTGATCTTGAGAGAACAATTGTAAGTCTGAGGCGCACAACAGTTGGACTCATGAGAAATGAGTGGGAACTAGGTGTAAGACTAAGACATTGGCAACCACTGACTTGTCTAGTGTAATGGATAAGTCTGTGTCGGAGTATAGGGCTGTACTTCAAATTCATAGTGGATTGATGAGCCTGAGATGGTAGTCTGTGGCATTTCCCGGTTTGGGATTTCCACATAAAAATAAGGTGTGTTTCTTTTACTTTGTTTTACATTATTTTTAAACGCTAATTGCTTAGATTTCATATGAGTTACGTACTTGCATTTACTTTAAAATCTTGTAAAAAGAGCATTCGAGAAGTTGAGAACTGTTCATCCCATTGTGAAGCTTCTACTTGCACACTCGCCTGATTCAGTGCAGTGTTGGTTATTGTCAGGAGTTTGATCTTTGAAAATTTCCAAAAGCTTCTTTTCTGACTCCTTTCTTTCCATTGTTTTTTTCGGTTATGGGAAACATGTGTCACAAATGAGAGGGTGGATCAGTTTCATGAACTCCTTTTTTTGATGGAATGGGACCCTACTTGTTAAAGGTGCGTTTAGGCTCCAAAAAAGCTCCAGCCTCGACAAATCTCAATCAAAATGCCTCAACCTATTACAGGGTAGATGTAACGGGCTGGGTGCTTCGCGATCCAACCGAAAAGGTTAAGCTACTAAGTGGAGCTAATACCCAACCCATTTATACCCGTTTTACTTCCCATCCAGATCCGATGTGGTTGGGACAAGACTCTCTTTGTAACATTCTCCCCCACCCGAACACGCAACGCTCTTGTTGGGGTCGGGCCACCCTGTCTACCTAGGAAGAAGACCCGAACGCCTCCGGACTGATTGTTTGGCGTGACACCGGATTAAGTACTAGTCTGGCTCTAATACCAATTATAACGGGCCGGGTGCTTCGCGATCCGACCCAAAAGCTTAAGCTCTTAGGTGGAGCTAATACTCAACCCATTTATACCCATTTCTCTTCCCATTCGGATATGATGTGAGTGGGACAAGACTCTCCTTGTAACACTAGACCCCTTTATTCAAGCTTACATAGGGCATTCAGGCTCGCGCTTAAATAGGATGTAGAACGCAAAAGCTCTTGTACCAATTGATATAGAACACAATAAGATAGATAGCTCTGCTGTGATACAATATTAGAATTAGAGTGAAAGAAGAAGATGATAATTAGAAGATGAGATGAGGCTAGAAGAAAAGGGGAGAAACAAATGAATGGGGTGAGGAAATAGAGACGCTAAACTGACTGAGGGGTAAGAAAAGCAAGAATAGAGGAAGAAGAAGAGAGGGAAACCTCTAAGACTCACTAGTCTCAATCCAAAACTCAATTCAGAACTATTATTCAAACTGAATATTTGTGTTACGTATATGCCTATTTATAGGCATCAAAAGCTTCCTTAATAACTAAGGAAACATGTTATGAAATAAGGATCGAATAGGAGTTTATGAGAACAAAGAGAAAATTAATGACAAGAAATTAAAATGGCACACACACAAACGAGATAAGAATTTACGTGGTTCGGCTATGCCAACGTCTACGGGGAGAAGACAACAATATTTCACTATGGAAATAAAGAGATATAAGGCAAAGTGGCTCACACCCAAAACCCAAATGCACCCACATACTCTCACTCTATAACTTATATTACAAAATGCTCATTGATGATCTGGGATGCTTCAACACCATGGAGAGTAAGGCTATTTATAGCCAAATAAATGGGTCACCAAAACAACTGATGCTTGCTTCAAGTTGGTGTCTACGAATTCTCGGTGACCAAGAATTCTTGCTGATCACACATTCTTGGTTGCCAAGAAAAACTGATGTAAGTGATGATGTAATTGAGCCACAAAAGTTAACAAATCTCCACCTTGGCAAAAATTCAAATTAGCCACTGTATCTCTGCAAAACAACCTATCTTCTCCACAAAACAAATTAATTAAGAATTTTAGTTAAGTTTGAGTCATCCTCAAACTTAACCCTCGGACTCTCATTCTTCAACCCATGCATGCCTTGCGCAGCCACAAGCATACCTACAGTTTTTTGGCCAAACTCTAAGCGTTGATCAAAAACACCATAAGAAATTCCAAGTTTGACATCTCCTTCAGCAACCTTCTCCAATCGCCCACAAACCACCGGTTGGAAATGAAAAGTCATCTTCTCACCCTTATGGAGAATAGGATGTTCTTGACTTTTTCTCGCATCTCTATTGTGACCAACTACTTGCCTCCCACACATCTTAATGGCACTCGAATGGACTATCTCATTGCCACCAAGATTATTGCAAGTCAATATCACACATATCCTCATAGGTCTGCCTCCTTGTAAGGACTGCTGTAATTTTGGTTGTTATCTGAAAACGGATTTCATTCTCCCACCATGTTGTGTTGTCCCCTCACAACCCTTTTGAGAACTAGGATCGTCACTCCTCTTTCTAACTCTTCTTTTGCCAAGACCCGAATGCAAATTTCTGCTAACTGTAGAAGACCCTATAGAAGCTCCACCTGTTACTGTATTTTCTTGGAGAAGATACAAAATTTTCACCTTGGTGCCCTGTAGCACCACAAGAGAAGCCGTCACGACCATTAGTACTCCACCCTCTGTTACAACCTAGTAACCTTTGGAGTCTAGCACACTTACTGAAATAAGATTCATCTTCAGATCCAGTACATATCGCACATCTGACAATGTTCTCACCAACCCATTGTGCACCTTGATCTTGACTGTTCCTATTCCCAAAATTTTGAAAGCTTTCCCGTCCGCCGTCAAAATCGAACCACCTTTCACCTCTTTATAGGAAGAGAAAGAATCCCTACTGGGACACATATGAACAGAACAACCAGAATCAAGAATCCAACTGTCATTAAATGACATACCTGAACACAAGGTTGTCATGAGAACATATTCGTCACTTTCCGAATCACTCGTTGTAGCAGTTGCCACAGAAGCTACTTCCTGAACCTTCTCTTTGCCATTCCCATTCTTTGCCTTTAATTTGGGACAGTGCTTGATGATGTGCCCTATCTCGTGACAGTAGTAACATTCCACATTTTTATGAGATCTAGATTTGCTCCTACTACCAGAACTCTTTGTCTCACTTTTGCCTCTTACAAATAGATCTTCGACTTGTTCATATCCAATATTCCCAAACACCTTTTTCCATTACTCCTGAAAGTTCAATGAGGATTTAATATCCTCTATACTAATAGTATCTTTTCCATAGAGCAATGTGGTAACAAAATGCTCATAGGAAGGAGGCAAAGAACACAATAAAATAAGGGCTTGATCCTCGTCATCAATTTTAATATCAGTATTTTTCAAATCCATAATAATAAAATTGAAATTATCAATATGCTTCTTAAGAGGCATATCTTCCTTCATACGAAGGGTG